TTTTTTTGTTCAATTTAAAGATAAACAGTTTGTAAATATTAATCTGTGATAAGTCAGATGGATAATCATGAAACTTAACCAAAGGGCTTATGAGGTATGTAAAGGGGCAAAGGATAAGAAAGGATACAGAAGTGTAAACAAGAAAAAAAAACAAAAGTGAGTTAAATATGAGATAGAAGCCCAGGATTAAGAAAATTCATCAACTAAAATCAAACACAGAGTACTTAATTATCACCTCATATATGCCAAGCAGAGTGGGGGATACCTGAGGCAGCTAAGTGGCACAGTGGTTAGAGTGCTGGGCCTGGAGTCAGACTTGAGTTCAAACATGGCCTCAGATACTTACTAGTTGTGTGACCCTGGGCAAGTCACTTATCTTTTGTCCATCTTAGTTTCCTCATCTGTGAAATGGGGATGATAATAATAATACCTTCCTCACAAAGCTGTTGTGAGAATCAAATAATATTTGTAAAATGCTTTGCACAGCGCCTGGTACATAGCAAGTATGGAAAAACTGCTTGTTCCCTCCCTACTACATAATCTCTGCCCTCAAGTTTACATGCGAATAGTGAATGGCCTTGAATTCAACAACTTCTTGAGGTCCTTCCTGCACTATTTTTTTTTTCATTTTACTACTGTGATTATGGTTACTTCCAAAGAAGGTCTTAGAAACAATATCTGCATTTTATCACGTCTTGGGTGGTTTTGAAAGCTAGCAGAATGTTTCCCTGTAGGGTAACAGAGTCTTACCAATAAACTCCAAACTTAGGAATGGATGATACAATGTTGCAGGAACTTTGGGAAACCATCTCCTTTTGTTTGATTTTTAGTTTCAACCACGAGTAATATGATTTCATCATACATTATTTATTTAATTTCTCAAATAGAAAAAGAATGGAGATAAAACATATTCTTCTGAAGTACAAAAAATCTGAAAAGAATCTCTTTTAATTACACACTAATACATCTAACACACTAGGAAGTTGATGGGTCATTGGCACACTTTTTAAAGTGGCAGCACTCAATACCACTCTGCTGAATGAAGGGAAGTTGTAATAAAACCTCTTTACCTTAATGGTTTTTGACTGGAGTCTCAGGCCATTCAGTGTGTTTATTGCTCTTTCGGCATCTTTTGCAGTCACGTAATTCACAAAGCCATAGCCTAAGCTGTGTCCTGCATGGAAGAACATATATAATGTTTTAAATGAACCACCACCACCAATGCATCCCGATGTTTGTTTTTTGGTTATCTATTATAGAAATCTCCCTCTGTAACTAAAGATCACACCCAAACATTAAAGACTTAGTCACTTTTTCATTAATTATGCCTAGCAGACCTGGGCAAGCACCATGAAGCTGTTAGAATTCAGTGAAGGACTATGGGATACCTGAAACCAGGCCCCCACCTCCAAGCATATAAATCACTGACTTAAATGCTTCATCTTTTTAGCTCAGGTTAATTCAGCCAACTGTAGATAATAAGAAAAACTGTAAGACCACAGAGATGTGAACATTATTAATGATAAACCAGAGGCTAGATATATGCCTTTCATGAAGAAGAGAAGCCAGGGGCATGGAGCAGGCACCATGCCATGGCATCATTCTTATCACATGATGTCACTACTCTCATTCTTTAGGGGACAAATTAGAGGGCAGTTGTGAACTTTGATTTATCTTTCACAAGACTATGCAATCTGTTTCACTCCTCTTCAGCCAGTATTCATGGACAAATTGGATCCTTTGGGGCAAGAAGCTGGTTTTCTTTTTTTTTTTTTTTTACTGATCCATACAGTGACCTGGAGACACAACTCTCAGTAGACAAGGAAGATGAAGTTACTTACCTGATGCTCCGCTTCTTTGAATATGAAAACACTAGATGTCCAATGACAACAGAACTATCTCTGAAAAGAGGTGCTTTTGGCTGGCTTGCAGGTTATTTCCATTATGTTGGACATGGGCACTCCCTAATGCCACGCCTGAAGGGACAACCTCAGCTTCCCAAGCCTCAAGAAAACTAACATGAGCCGGTTAACAGGACAGCAACAACCATGACAGTAATCACAGTCTACTACAGAAGAAGAGCCAGGAAAACGCCACACTCCCAGACCAATTCCTCCTTTGTACCCATACCGTAACTCACCACCCTGATGTGGAAGACAGGCCTCAGGGCAGAGCAGATAGTGTACTGGACTGAAGAATGATGGAAGATCTGGCTTAAAAGCTTGCTCTAGATACTTTTTAATTGGATGACACTGGGCTACTTAACCTCTTTATGTGTCATTTTCCTCATCCATGAAATGAGAGTGTCAGGACTTGCTGGCCTCTGTGATGTCTTCCAGTTGCAAATTTATGATCCTAGGAGCTGTCCATCCTTACATTCAAGGAAATGGGGTTATCATAAGTAAACTAACACCCTCTCTTAGAAAGGATTACATATTGGATGTTAACAGGTGATATATCTGGACCCAAACACGGGAAAGGGGAACCTGGGACACTGACCTTGTAGGAGATCTATCAAAATGTTATTACCTTCTGGTGCCTAGATAAAAAACTTCATCTCCCAGATGTTGAAGGAGATCCACATCACTGACTTTATCCTTCTCAGCTCAGCAGCTTTCCCTGAAGTCATAGTTAAAATGGTACTTTCCCTACTTCAATTAGTCCCAATGAGAGCAAAGCCATAGAGTAAGAGACTCTTCCAACTTGGAAAAATCCTAGAAACCCCTTAATCCAACTCCCCACGCAGCATAGGAATCTCTTGTTCAGTATCCCTCAAAGACGATCATCAAGATCTACTTACATCTACTCAAAGAGCAAAGTGTTCCAAAGGACAACTCTAGTTGCCAGAGAACTCAAAGAATCTAGAGTTGACATGGAGCTTAGAAGTAAATAACTTCTAACAAATAAATGTACACACTCACACAATTACAGTTTTTTCTTAAGTTGAGCCCAAATTTAACTCCATGTAACTCTGACCAATTTATTTTAATGATGTAGCTTACTGCTTCAAAACAGAACAAGCAATCCAAAAACCGATTCACAAAAGATTGTTTTGCAACTGGCCCAGAACTAGTTCATGCACTGGCAGCAGATCATCCTAAGGATACTCAAGATGTGGGAAAGGTTATTTTTATCCCTACAGTTCAAATGAAGTTGGGAATAAAAGGTAAGGAATGATGCTGGAAGTGAAAAACAAGCTAAGGAAGATGATATTGTGATGGGTAAAGAATTGAGAGATCACTTTACAGAAAAACTGTGCAATGGCCTTTGTAATGATTCTATCCCCATGAACTTCAAGATGGAGGGGGGAAAAGAGAGAAAACATGCTAACAGCAGTCTGAAATCACTGTAGGGGCAAGGAACACATTTTCACTCTTCTTTCCCCAGTAGAAATGTTGAGAATACGAATCGTGGTGGTAGTGGTGGGGGTGATGGTGGCACCTGGCTCCTGGGTGGTGGCCCAAGATTGACAAGGTCAGACTTCTCATATATTAAGAAGTCTGGTCTAGACTGAGCCTTCCTCTGCTTTTTTGTAAAGATCTATCTTTCACTTCCTGGGGGGACTGGTTAGGACAGCTGACAGTGAAATCCTTGATGAAGAAGGGGAACAAATATAAGTACATAGAGGGACAGTAAAATCTTTGAGTTAGGGATGGGAAACCACAGCTGGCTGAGTTCTTCGTGCTATAAATTCTGGTAAAACCTCCCAAAAAGGGGCATGATGAAGGTAACTGACTTCTTGAGGAACTACCAGGGAAATGATATATGGGCTAGGTGCTTATGTATCCAAGTACCTTTCTTCCTGTATCCAAGAATAAACCTCAATCACTTCAATCTTCCTTCAGTCTTTTTTTCATGGAAGGAGAACTGGCAGGGCACAATTCTTAATTCTAATACCTTTCCCTTATCAGAACTCAAGAGGCTAGGGTGAATGAGCCCAGCCCAGGATATCTGATAGTGTCCTGTCCTTGGGAAAGAAGTATCTCTGAAACACCTAGGTCCAGGAAAATATCAAATGATATTCTTTCTCTGGAAAAACCCAGGAATCAAAGAAGCTCAGAGTCAGAGCCTCAACCACTGTACAGTTAAAAAGACACTTTAGTGGTGTCAAACTCAAATAAAAATGGGGGCCACTAATCTGTACATAAGAATCCCTGGGGGCCGCATATTGACTTAGTTTTAAACTGTAATTCTATCTCTGTTTTATTGCATTTTTATTCATTTTGTTAAATATTTCCCAATTATATTTTAATCTGGTTTGGACCTCACTAGGGAGTGTTGCCCTGGGCAAGTCAATTAACTTCTATCTGCACAAAACTGGAGAAGGAATTGGCCAACCACTCCAGTATCTTTGCCAAGAAATCCCCATGGACAGTTGGTCCACAGGGTCACAAAGAGCAGGACACGACTGAACAACAAGAAGGGAGTATTGGAGATGGCTTGCATGTTTGATACTCTGCTTTGGACCACAGCACGACATCCTCATTGGCAGCTGAAAAAAAGACTAAAAGACTTCTTGTTCTCCTTTCATGTAAATACTCACAAATATAACAGACCTGGGAACCTGCTCTGGTAAGTCAGTACGCATCTGTACATACAGAGTCCACTCATTTCAGTACATTAATTTATTACAACATTCAGAATCTTAAAAACACAGTTTAGCATTTGATTATCATCTTGTATTATTTCATGTGGTTTGTCTGGTCTTTCCTCACCTAAACTGTAAATTTGAGACCAGGAAACCAATGCATAGTGAGAATTCAATATAGGCAGTCTCTTTCTTAAATAGATATTATTAGATAATATTAAATTCATTTCTAAGTGAGTTCTCTGGAACGCAGAACACATCTTTGTATAGAAACAATGAGAGCTTAGGCTTCAATACAAAAGTCAATTTAATAATTTAGTCAATCTTTTTGTGGTGGCAAAGAGTTGGAAATTGAAAAGATACTCATCAGCTGGGGAATGGCTGAACAAATTGTGGTATATGATTATGATGGAATACTACTGTGCCATAAATGACAAGCAGGATGCTTTCTGAAAAACCTGAGAAGACTTACATGAACTGATGCAAAGTGAAGTGAGCAGAACCAGGAAAACACTGTACGCACAGTAACAGCAATATAGGGCAATGACCAACTTAGCTATTCTCAGCAATACAATGATCCAAGACAATTCCAAAGGATTTATGATAAAAAAAAATGCCATCCAGCTCCAGACAAAGAACTGACGAAGTCTGAATGCAAACTGAAGCATATTTTTTCTTTCTTTCTTTTTTTTTTCTTTTTGGTGAGGCAATCGGGATTAAGTGATTTGCCCAAGGTCACACAGCTAGTAAGTGTCAAGTGTCTGAGACCGGATTTGAACTCAGCTCCTCCTGACTCCAAGGCCAGAGCTCTATCCACTGTGTCACCTAACTGCCCTTGAAGCATATTTTTAAAATCTTACTTTTTTATTCTTGGTTTTCTGGGTGTTTTCTTTTGCCACATGGCTAATATCGTAATGTTTTGCAAGACTGCACATACTCTATATCAAATTGCTTGCTTTTTTAAGGAGGAGGCAGGGAGAAATTATGGAACTGAACGTTAAAAAAAAATGAAGGTTAAAATTTTCTGTTTACATGTAATTGAGAAAAAAAATTTTAAATAACAATATAGCTGAAGTACTAAGAGGTCAAAGACAAAGAAAGATGTCTTATATACCAAAATATTCATAGCAGCACTCCCTACAGTAGGAAAAAGCTAGAAACAAAACAGATGTTCATCAGTTGGAGAATGGTTAAATAAATTAATATTAATGTAATGGCATATTATTGTTCTATAAATGACAAAAATGAGGAATTCAGAGAAACAAGGGAAAACTTAGGGGAACTGATGCAGAATAAAGTAAACAGCAGAACCAAGTAAGCAATATATGCAATGACTATATAAGAGGAAAAAAACCCCTAAAATGAAGACAAATGCTGTGTATTAGGAGGCAATTAGATAGTATAGTAGATATTAGGAGGCAATTAGGTGGTGTAGTAGATAGAGTGATGGAATTGTAATAAGATAGACCTGAGTTCAAATAATATCTCAGACATTTACCAGATATGCTTATGGGAACTGTGGCTGGGGATGGGAAGGCAAAAAGTCATTTAGCTTCTCCTAGCCTCAGTTTCCTCATCTGTAAAAT